AGACTGTTCAGACAGAATGAATGAATGATGGTCCATCAAGAGGAAAGACACAGTGGAAGCAGCAAGAGGAGTTTATGAAAGTTAGAGGGAAAGACAGAGGGTTGTGGGACAAGGGAAGATTCACAGAAACAACAGGAAAAGGTCCTGAAGACAGTTTGAACAAAATGTTTCAGGAAAGAGGAAGATGGAGAAAAAAGGGTATTGGAAAGATGTGCATGGACAAAGCAGCGATTGTGGAGAGAGAGAGTTGAGTTAGGATTTGTGTCCTGAGTACAATGCTGTCATATTCAAGAACAGATGGACACACAGGAGGTGTCTGAGGCAACTTTGTGCAAGTAGCACGAAGGAGCTTTGTGCAAAGGATTTCTGCTGGAAGAGAGCATTAATACCAGTGGGACATGGCAAGGATGACAGAATCACACAATAGCTTCGGTTGGGACCTTGGTGGGTCATCTGGTCCAATCCCCTGCTCAGAGCAGGGAAAGAAAATAATACATAGGAGATGAAAAATTCCCTTGCATCTTCAGAGATAGAAAGTTAAGCTTTAGCTACACACCAGAAATGCGTATCCAAAGTCAAACCTTCCCCTGGTTCTCTATGGTTGATGTTCCCCTCTGGAAGCAATGCTCATTTTACAGATTACTGGAATTGCTACTATAATTGCTCTGGATTCTGTGCTGTGGAGCACAGAGTTTTTTTTGTATATCAAAAGCAGGCAAAAGACACACAGGAGAATCGACCTGTAGCTTGTTCTAAACACACATGCACATCTGATGGGCAGCTTATGCCAGCACAAAACAAAGATAGGAGAAATATTTCTCATGCAAACTGGGTTGGTGGTTAATCAAGTGAATCGTACCTTTTAGAGAGGTATCCTAGCAACTCCCCAGCAGCCACCAGTCCCGGCTGACAGTGCACACTGATGCAATTGTTCTCCTCCTGCAGACATCAAAACTTTGCAGCTAATCAAAGAGATAATTCGAAACAGGAGACCATGTTAAATTTGATCCAACAAAAGGGAATTTTATAAATGAGCAATGTCACCCGGGGCATCTCTTATGCTTAAAGTTGTCATCTCGGAACAAGAGCGGGTCAGGCTTAGCAAAGCCATGCAACTCTGGGAACAAAACCTCCCTTTCTGCAATCGGCAGCACGATTCTCCTGAAGGCGCTTGCTTCTCCCATGTAGATTTTTGCTGGTCTCTGCTTCAGAGCACTATGAAGAATTTATTACTATTTTCTTGAATAGCAAAGGCTCACCCAAAGCACTTTCTAGACCACAAGTATCAGCAAAAGCCCTGCTGATGCTCTTGTAGCCATTTACCCCAAGATGCTTCCCTGAACAAATTCCTCTTTCTAACGTGCCAGATCAGATATTCTTTCACATCTCCAGACAGTGCAAATAGGCCCTGGGCTAGCTGGATTAGATCTTCTGTCTCAGGACCAGCAATGAACTTGAGGCTACCAAGCAGCCGAAGCACATCCTCTCCAAGCATCCCCATTGTGGAAGCATTATAGATTTGCAATTCACCTCTTCAGGCGTGTATGCAATAGGTGAAGCAAAATCAGAAATACAGGAATTATTAGGGTTCTGAAAAATAACTTTTTCTTTTCTTTTTACTCTTTAGCTAGCCCAAAGATCTAAGAAAAATATTCACTATGTTTAAGCATTTCCCAGTTCACTTTTCTTACCACTGTAGTATTCTTCAGGCTTCAGTTCAGAGTTGTGAAGGGCTTCTCCCTCCTACAGCTTACATGTTTTCTCCTGGATTACAGAAGATCTGCTATGCTCCCCGTCCCACCCCCCCCCGCCCGGTTCATCTCCTCTCTCTCAGAGAAAAATCTTTATTCGTCTTCTTAATCTTCCTGTTTTCTCTGTCAGGTGAGCCCTGACACCCAACCACCTTCATCAGATGCTCCTCAGATACTTTTGTTTGACGACCACTCTCCTGGGGATCAGAATGAGAAGACCGGTTTGCCCAGGGCAGTAATCACCTCCCTGAATATTCCACTAAAACAGTTAATCAAGCTTTAAAGATCTTTTCTTGTTAGAATGGAGGAATTTCTCCCATCGCCTTTGGTGGTTCAGAAGGAAAGCAAAACACAACAGATGTAACAGCCACACAATCTGAACACCTAACAAACACAATCCACAGCTGGACATAAACATCAAATCACACACAAATCATCATCAAAGCATTTGTGACCTACTTTTTACCACAAAAGATGGATTATTTTGCAGTCAATCAAGTGCTATTAAACACTGCCACCACTAAAAGCAACATGCAGACTATCTGGATACAGGAGTTGAGACCAGGGCTCAAAGAGGACCACAGGGGATCAATGTGCCCAATCATAAGGTCCATGGACCCTTTTAAGACCTTGTAAGTTGCTTCCAGTCAGTAGAAAACTGTTACTCAACAGCAGAAACACTGCTCACAGGTGCTAAACGGACACAAAGTTTTCCCCCCACAAACAGAAGATTCCTTATCAAAGCGCTGGCTTTATACATTTTAACTGTAATGGTATGTGCATACAAGTAACTCAAACTGGAAAGTGTAGGACGAAAAGAGAATAAATTGTAGAGACAGAGAGCAATGAGGGGAAAAGGGAAACTATACCTGTGATACTGTTCCCAGCATATTAATCTATTTTCACCTTCCTAATGCAGATATACCTTTTTTTTTTTGTGCAAGTCACCGCACTGCTTGCTTCAGGATGAGTCTGGTAACAGGATGTGAGCATTTGTGAACTTAAGAAGGGGCTGATAATATGAAACAGCTTAGAAACTATACATTTGTAATTGAAACAGCAGGACACATCAGTTCAGCACGACAGTCAGAATTTGCCAGACGTTAATGGGTTGACTTGCAAAGAAACAAAAAAACCCGTCCATACGCTACATGATCCTTCATAACCGCAGCAGCTACATCATTGTTTTATGCCTTAGAATCCTCAACCACAGGAAAGGAAAATAAACAACCCACCCCAGCAGCATCTTCAGGAGCAAAGCGCCTTCTTCTAGAAGGGCAGCCGTCATCCACAATTAGGACAAGAAAGTTACGACAAATAACCATCCCCTCACAAACATCCACAGTGTTTACCCACAGATGTCTGCTGCCTCTTACAACACCGCATTCCCCCCCAAAGAAGTCATTGCGGAAGAGTGACACAGAGTTAAATTCACTGTTACTGCTCAGAATTGTCCTGATATTCATTTGCAAGCAAAATGAACCAGCTAAATTCTGTAATATTATAACCAACATAACTGGGACTGTAAGCAAGCAGGTGAACACGAGTTGCTCTTCACTACGGGGTGCCTAGTGAGAACGGTCCCACACACTGAGTCTGGATCTGTGACTAATTTTCTTTCTGAATGGGGAAGCAAACAAAGTTACTGCACGATGCAGACACCAGCCTTTCTTTTCAGAAGACCCATTGTGTTCAGAGAAATCTTGACTCGAAGCATCTTGAAATCATGAGAATTCTTCTCTGTATTTTAGTAGGTTTTGAATCAGGCTCATAGGGAGCATATCAGAGAGGCTTTTCAAAATCTGTTGTTCTAGTAAGGAATGACCTTCAGCTTATTTTCTGGAATGCCTCTACTAAATCCTTAATTGCCTACCTTTTTAATTTGCGTACGTGGCACCATGCAGTGAATGATGTCACTAGCAATGTTGCTACCAACCCTCCCTCCCTCCACCAGTATCAATAACATGATATAAAAACTCAGAACTCTGTGTTAAAGATGATCTACAAACAAAATTTTTACTCAACTCATTTAACAAAACCATTTTGTTAAAAAATGACTTAGTAACAATTGGAATTTTACATAGAAAATTCAGAAATTACAAAAAATGGCATTATATAATAAATATAACCTGAATATATGAGAAGAGTTAGACAAATTTGGTAGTAAGGTCTACAGAAAACCTATGCAGAAGAAAGATCAGCTGTTCCTGAGTTAATTGTGTTTCTGTTGATCTTCTTCTGAGATAACATGATTGCAGTGTAGAATATTCTTTTTCTACCTGAGCCTTTGTGATAGATACATCTCTTCTATCCATTTCATGACACTGATGTTACACATGCCTTCTCCTGACACAGTTAAGAGGCTCCAAATGCTGGAGAAAGAAAATATCTGAGGCCTAAAAGAAGTACTGAAAATGAAAAGCGGTGTACTGAGAGCAGCCTACAGGTAAAGAAAGACCCAACACTCCCCACGCTGGCTAGCCAGAGATGCACATCTAGTAGCTGTCCTGAATGCCAGGGCTGCCACATAAAAGCTTGTTGCCTTCTTAGCCAACTTATTCTGCAATAAACTATAATGATCCCTTGTGAGAAGTATGATTTTACTTGACGTACCATTACACATCAGTAAGTCTCAAAAATTTAGAGAGTGATGGCGAAAAGAGTGAGAGAGAGAGAAGGATGAGGGGAAAGAAAGTGAGCACGCAAGAGAGTAAGAGTGAGAGGGAGCGTGAAGGGTGTGTGAGTGAGCATGAGGAAAGGGTGCCAGTGAGTGTAAGCCTCTGCAAGTCCTTCCATTCCTATGGCATCCCTACCAGCTCTGCACTACCGAGCCTCTCGGACCCCGAGCCACAGCTGCACAAGTCAGATGGTGCCACGTGGCGACAGTGACGGTTGGTCTGGACCCCAAGTTGGGGCAGAAGCATCTTCTCTGATTGACTGAAGCGGCCAGCCAGCACCTATCTCATCTATCAAAAGTCCCTCAGGACACCTTCCCTGTCATTCTGCCAAAAGAGACACTGCCAGATCTCCAAGGTCTGTATTTGGATATTACATTTTAGAAGAAATTTCCTGCATATACGTTAGGCTGTTCTATCAAAGTGCATCTTTCCTCTACACATATACCCATTTATGTAGATTATTCCTTCATAAGGCTTTACAATATATGTGAAATGTTTCAAATCTTTATCTAATAAATATTACATGAAAATATTTTTTCAGTATTTACATATGAAACATATAAAAATATGATCATTGTAAGACTACTTCTTCGATTTCATCTTCTAAAGAACCAAGGGTCTTAACTCCTGGCTTGCTTGTAGTGTGTTGCAAACGGTGTCTGTTTAGGTTTCTTCCTTCACCGAAAAGATCATTGTCGTCTTTGACTTTGGCTTTACTGTTTTTATCGACAAGAGTATTACTAGAGTCCCAATCTATGTCAAAAGGTGTTGTATCGTTATTTTTAGAAAGAAGGATGGTACTGGCACTGCTTCCGAAGAGTTGTTCCATTAAATTGGACTTCTTTTCTTTCTTACTATTGAAATCTGCATTTTCCTTAACATTTTCTTCTAAGTTGTCATTTTTTTGAGTAAGCCAACTCGGTCTTGCTGATCCTTTCCCAAAGGAAGGTACATAACTACCAAATGTTAACTCATTACTTAAATCTACGGTCCTTAGATTTCGCTGCTTCAGCCCTTGTGCTCTTGTGGCATCATCCTGGCTGTCATCTACAGGAAATCCATTAGTAACCTTCCCAGGAATCTCAAAGAATGGATTGGTTTTTTCTTTTTTCTCCAGGGAATCAGATTTTCTTGCTGTATTTATGAGTGGTGCTTGGGAAGCAGGTTTCATGTTTGTTACATTTTGAGTTTCTCTATCAATTTCTTGCATTTTAGCAAGCAGGAACTCTCTTTTTTGCCGCTCTTCCAACATTTCAGTGCTTTCTCTCTCTACTTCAGGTTTGTGGATTTCTGTCTCCATCTTTGTTTTCTCTTCTTTATCCAATAAAAAGCTGCTTTCTTTTTTCATTTTGTCATATTCTTCCCTTTCCCACTCTGCAGGAAATGTTTAATCATTATTTAAAATGTTTTAGTTTTAAAATGCCTTTAAAAGAATATTTTGAAAATAATGCAAGCAAAAGCCATTGAGTTTTTAATACGCTCTTCTATGCATAACGTGGTTTTCCTACTGCAAAAATAAATGATTCAAAAATTACAACTAAATTCACACCAGGTTCTCTGCTAAGGTATTAAAGTTTACTGTCGTCTTCCAAAGAGAGTAGGACATTATCGATGGTTTAGAATTTTCAGAGGAATTTCATTTCTGCCAATTGCCTTCCCATTTCCTGGGTTTGAATGAAAATGAATACAACATCACTGATTTTAATAGTCCTGACTTGCACAGTACTTTATTTTTCTTTGTCAGCACCACTGACATTAGGACGGTTCTGGGATATATGTTTGGGTTTTTTTTCCACAAAGGGAACTACTCCTGTGAAGCCATCAGGCCACAAAGTCACAGGAGTCATTACCGGTTTCACGTCGTGAATGATTTAAAATACACTGCATCTGCTGCATACAGAAAACACCTTTACACGAGTGTTCTGTGCATCACCATGTGAACTCAATGAGAGTGTCTGTGCAAATACCAAATGTCAGTTTGCACAGCTATAAAGGGATACCAAAGGTGCAAAACAGTAATAAACTTCTAGATAGAACCTGCAAATACTTAAGTGTACAAGAAAAAAGAAGCTTCTCAAATATTTCTCTCTTCAAAATATTTTTCTATCAAGACAACAGACATGTCTTTGGCCAAAAGTTGAATATGACTATTCGGCCCCTTCAACATACTGGCATTCCCCTCTGAACACTTTATTCAAATTTCCAACTGATGTTTTCACAAAGTTCCATGTTATCTATTGTACTTCAGATCAAGCTTACAGAAATAACTGCAACAGTTCAGTTCATCTATATTTTTTATATATATATATATATATATATTTTCAATAGCATATCACTATACCAAGTTAAGTAAGTAGCTACCTTTCTGTATGTAATGTGGGGAAAATATCAGCTTATACTGTAACATGGATAAGGTGGCCAAATCATCTTACTTAGAGAGATCACAGAGCAGATTCTTGGCTTATGTAAGTTGTGCACTGATGCCAGTGGAGGTAGAAGATTTTACACAGAATTTACCTCTGAAACCAGCTACAGATTTTTAGAATTCTTCCTTGTCATCTAGCAAAAGTGATACTGTTCATTAACTATAATCACTGAAAGAGTATTTTAACATGACAGGATGCAGTCCATCTAAAATACTTTAGATTAAGAGATTTATGAATGTAATTCTTTAAGATGTTGTGAAAAGCAAATTAATAAAAAAGCAATATTAAAATGTAATGATAGGAACTGACATTTCTCAAATAGCCACACCAAATGATTCAGATAACCACAAGTGAAAAGAGAAACTACAATTTCAAATGATACGAGTGAAGTAGATATGCACTGAAAAAACAGGCCACATTAAGGAAAGCAGATTCGTTCTACAATGGTAAAAATATACTGCCTACCTCAATAACATCTAGCAAGTCAGAGATAACATCAGCATTTATCTGCTATATCATCCTTGTTTTGTAAAGCAAAATCTCTCAGGCTTCAATACTTTTTCATGGGAAGCATTTTTTGCTGCTGCATATTTAACCACAGCTGAGTACAGGGCACAGATTATTCTATACCCTGTATTTCTTTCTGATTCTCTTTGCATAATATAGCTGAAAATAATTTTCCACTGTAGTGATCTCTGCAAAATCATTTTGCTCTTCTCACAAGCAACTAGCAGCCCCACTTGATTAGTATTCTATGGTGTATTTTCCAGCCTTCAGCTACCCGTTTCCTTACCGTCATGTAGTTTTTGAACCCTCTCCTCTAAAGCCTGTATTTCCTGAAAACGTCTCAGTTTCTCTTCCGTTTCCCTGTCCTGATCTTGTCTTAGGAGGTCTGCTTGCTCTTTCCATCCTTTGTCTTGAGTTTCTGTTTCCTGAAATAAATTAATACAAAACTGAAACTGATGCGAAAAAATAATCAAGAAAACAAACAAACAAAATCATATGAACTTCTATGTCATTCTGAAATCACATTCTTACTGCTAAATGTAAAAACGAGCAAGTCATCTAAACCAAACCAGCTTTGACAACCCAGGAGTTTGGCTCTAAAATCTTATCAGCTGTAACATAGTTTTATGCACCTGAAAAAAAATGAATAGATAATCAACTCTATTCTGTATTACACATTTCAGGAAAGTTGCAGTTCCAATCTCATAAAGCAAAATTATCACTATGTTAGGGTAGTTCTCTTTAGAAGTCAGCAGTTGTCTTTTTCAAGACAGTCTTTTTCTGGTGGGCCAGACCCCACCACCTTATTCTTTTAACAAGCAAGCAATTAGTTATTCTCTACTTCCACAATCTGATCTTTTTACTCAAGTAAGTGGTTGTAGATTCAGACAGTTTCACGGTGGTACTTAAAGTTATGGAGTATTAAGCAACAAACAGTGAAAGAGAAAGGTTCAATCTTGGCTGAAAAATTCAGTTAGGGAGTATACATACACATTTAAAAGGAAAGAACCTGCAGAAAAGATATTAATGTCAGCAGTAAAAATCACTAACACAGAAAAGTAGTGGCAATGAAGTGAAGAGAAAGCCAGTGTAATCCAACATGTGGATGCTAACTTTGCAGCTTGTGCTTATTTTAGAGTAAAATAAGCTTCTAGATTAAAATAGACTTCTAAGAGAAATAAGAGAAACAGTTACTACTTAATGAAGAGAGAAAATATGACTATTAGCCAAAACAACTTCAAGTATTTTCCCTTCATGTATAAGATCACCGTTACTATATTTAAAAAAAAAAACAAAACAACAACTTCATAAAGAGATGGCGGCCAAGTATTTAAAATGCTTGACTTAGAAAACTGATGAAAGCACAGGCTACCCAAATCTAATTTAGGTTACTTAAAGCAATAGCCATACACGAACTAGAGAGGTTTGTAAGATGACATCTAGTTGGACTCCCTGAGCTGCACTTGTACCAACTGTGCGGTTCTGTAACTCACACACCAAAGTATATGCTGGAAGAATGCATACATTAAACTGCATCCATACTTACAGAAAGGATTTTGGAAGAGAGAACATATGAATGAAATAGCCATGAAAAAGCTTCAATCCTACCAGAAAGCCAGTCAAGACCATCCTCAGAGCATTATTTCTGACAAAAGTCCTCACCTTATGTAATCAGAATTTGTACCAGAATCTGTGTCATTCTGATTTGTATTATGTTACAAATCTCTTTGATTTTAGCCTGAGGTCACAGAAGTATTAGCAACACTTCTAAGGGCACTATTTTATTATAAAAAGGGAAATGGAAAAACAAAAAAATCCAACCGTATTCACAAAGCTGGAAAAACGACAGAAGAAATACCAGCACTATGACAATAAGAGGAAGTGTTAGATTTATGCATTGTGAAATAAATCTGGAAAGTAAAAGAAACCATAATTAAGACCAAAGCAAAAAGAGAGACAAGGCAGCCAGCACTGTTACAACAGATTTCTCAAATAAGCATTAGAAATAATGAAAAGGGGAGAAAATCAAAATGAAGTCTTAAAAACTTCAAAGAAATGACAGTGGCAGAAAAAGAAACAAATTGAGCTAATGGTTATCACTAAGACATAGAATATGATGAAATAAGTATCATAACAATGGAGTATGGTATTTCCAGAAGGGCAGAGTTTCTCTTAAAGATCAAAATGTTTTCTAAATTGTATTTTCCATATATTTATATTTGTATATTTACACATATTTTCTAAAATATAAGCTCTGCATTAAACATTCAGTCTCATAGCTGAGTTATCTGGAGCAAGTCTCACATTTTTATGGAACTCACTATTTTAGGAAGAATCCCTTCTTTCTTGTTTACTGTGTCACCACAGACAAGTTCTGATTCTGGAAGAAATTCTACTGGTGAGAAGTATCCACTGGTCTGTACACCTTTTGTGAGGTGTGCTCCTTTTTTAATATTTTGGTTGTTGGCTGTAGAAAATACAAACTAATTAAATCACATTTTCACTTGAAAATATCCCACTATATACCTATCTCTCATTTTTAATGATTTGCAGCAAACATAAAAGACTGTATCAGTGCCAATGGAAGTGGATAGTATTGACACGTTTCACATACCTGTTTTCAGCATCTGTAAAAGCTAATTAAAAAAAAAAACTGCATGCAAAAGTTCCACTGAACCCCCCCCACCTTAAAGCTACTTATAAAGTCATTACAGTACACCGAATATTTGTTAAAAAATCCCTGCAAAATATCTCACTCATCTTACTGCTTGTCACAGAAGCTACATGTAGAGAAGCAAAGTCATAAAATTAAAATTCACTTATTTGCATCTTTGAAACACATACACTTATCTCTATGGAACGACATTTTTAAAAATCTGCACCTAAAATGGAATAATAATAGAGTATCTATAATAAAATCATAGAATCATAGAATTGTTTAGGTTGGAAAAGACATTTAAGATCAAGTCCAACTGGTAACATAGCACTGCCAAGTCCACCACTAAACCATGTCCCAAAGCATCACATCTACCGGTCTTTGAAATACCTCCAGGGATGGCGACTCAACCACTTCCCTGGGCAGCCTCTTCCAATGCCTGACCACCCTTTTGGTGAAGAAATTTTTCCTAATATCCAACCTAAACCTCCTCTATGATGAGCAGCAGACAAACTGTTTGAAATGCTGGCATTAAATATATAAAAGAGTTCCATAAATTCCTGCTTCTTCTGACAAGAAGATTCTACACACACAGACACACATATATACACACGTATTTATGTGGGCAGCATAAGGCTTGAGGCTGCCTTGTCACACCAGAAGAAATCACTGCACTGATACTTTTAGAAGATTATGTTCTGGGACATATGTACACTTTGAGGAAAAAAAAGAGTGCAGCTCATCTGATAGACAGTAAATTTGAATCAGTAAAAAATAAATAAAAATCACTGCCATAATATTCATAGCAGTGAACTTATGTATTTTTAAAGCCTCTATAATTTATTGTCTTGTAGACACTACCTATGATCTCTGAGAGAATTTACTAAACAACCTTCCCCTCCTCCTCCACCCAGGAACATCTGGTATGAAAGGAGTTCAGAAGGCTGTTTGATGAAGTTCTGGGTTTTGGTTCTGCTGCAGCTACAGAACACTCAAACAAACAATGTGCCCTTCCTTGTAACCAGTGCTGTGTTGAAAGCAGTGCAAAAAAGTAAACATTCTTGAACAAGCAGTGGTACAGTCAAACACTGAATGGCATGAATGACATAACCTAGCAGAGTAATTTAAAAGTGTTGCTATTAATTTTTCAGCCTTTATTGCTTTATATAAGTTACCTCTTTTTCTTTGTATAATATCCATGTCTTTTCTTGGTGATAGCTTCAACATACGATTAGCGTATATATTTTTTGCTTCAAGTTCTCTTTCTTTTTCCTGTGAATGAGAGAGGTAGGTATAGCAATGAGTTACTAACATTTCATTTACTAGTCATTAGCAAAGCTGTACATTAAACTAAAAATACATGTTGTAAATAGAAACAGAGTAAAGTAATCAATAGTTACATCCAATGTTTTACAGAGAACAATAACATTCCTAATTTTGCTTATGCTATAAGAAAGCAGATAGAACTTTTCCCCCAAAAAACTCATTAGCAAAAAAGAATCTCTGCGGTGAAAATTAAGCTAAATGCCAATGCTTCCATAAACCTAAATAAGACTTACAATGTATGTATAGATTGCACAACTGAATTTTCAGCGTTGTAAAGAGTTAAACATTTCAATGCCAGCAATGCTACTTGTCACAGGGCATGTCAGTACCATGGAGCAGAGGCCCACTGCATCATAGAGGTAGAGACATATTCTTCTTTCATGGTATTTATTGAATAAAATACAGCAATGAACAGTGAGTTATCAGAAATCATCCGATAATAAAAATATTTTCAAAATATTAAACTCTCCACTAACAAATCAGGCTTAAAATACTTGCTCTAAACAGGTAAGTTTTTGAGTTACTAATGCTACTGCTACTTGCTTGATAGCTAGTACCGTGGTAAACTGGTGCACCTCCATTGTAAAAGTATGTTTGAGACTTGGGGTTTCAAGGAAATTCTGCTAGAAACTGAATACTTCAGCTCAAGTCTTATTTTTTTTTTTCTAAAGATAAACTGACTAGGAAGAACATAACTATTTTCAGTCCTTAAATTTAGAATTTGGGCAACGACAGAGTGAGGGGATGGAAACCTTTGCACAAATTTAGCAACACATGTGGATATCACAAATACAAGAAATTAATCTTTACACAAACCTACTGTAATGCAAGTACATTAGTAACATTAAGTACTGTATATACCTGCAGATTTAATTTTAAAAATCAAGCTTTCAAAACCCAATTTTCCAGTAGATCTTGTGGTTTAATCGCAATGCTTGGCTATGTACTTGATCTTGCTTTTCTTAACTAGTGCTAACAATAATGATTAACATAGAGACATTCCTGTTATAAACACTGTAGGGTCAGAGCACAGAACACTTCAATTTGAAGTAGGAAAAGAACTCACATGTGGTATATAATTAAGTACACAGCAGAGTGCAGTCAGTGGTAAACTATTCAACCCTGATTACAGATACTTCCAAAGATAAAATGCCAGAACAGGGTTAGCAATTTGTATTGCTTCACATTTTACCTTCAGCTTCTGATTTAGTTGATGAAGCTCTTCTTGGAGAACTCTGTTTTCTTCTTGAGCCTCATACATCTTTTTTTTCTTTGAATGTAACTCTCGTTGAAAACTGCTACCACTTAATTCAAGATTTTTTTCCAGATCCTTCAATTAAAGCAAAATAATATTTTTTTAATAACTGAAGTACTTTTTTTATCGTCAAATTACTTAAGTAAAATTACAGTAAACCAGCATCTTGGATTCAGCTATCGGCTCCACCATTGCTGTAACACTGAATACATTTAAACCCTTAATCCTAACTTTGAGGGTGCAGACAGAGCACTTGCAGATGCTGCAGCTCATCCTTCTGGAGTATTGAGAGGTGATTTGAGGACATAATGGGAACACACATGACTTTCTGCAAGACTCTTGGCACAGTGGACCTCCAGATCTCTTAAGACAAATCTCAAACCGGTGCTTAAGAAACAGAATACCTCCCTGGAAGTGTAGGATTAGAAGGAAGAAGACAAGAAATACTTTTTAACCTTTCTACTGGAAAGAAATCTGTGATTGTGGTTTCATTTACATACCCTCACCTTGCAACAGCTGTTTTAAGTGAACCTGTGATGATGAGAGAAGGAAAAAAGTAGAAGCAAATCCCTTACTTTTTAGGGCATGATTCATTTTAACATTATCCAGTACTACAAATGCTGAAATACCTGATCATAAAACTACAGATGCCAGATACACTACAGGGTGAGGTGATTTGGGTTACTCAGCAGTTTATATCTTGGTATTTTGGGATTTATTTTATGAAAGCTTATTTCCAGCTTAATCCTTTGCATTTCCAGATCTATTATCTCTGTAATGTAATTTAGGTTTAATTACTAATATAGACACCAAACTTTAAGACTTTTTTAATGACCAACATAATTTCAACTAAAAATTGTTGTATTGCATACAACTACCAACAGTTTAATAGTGTTAACACAATTATTTTTAAATAAGATGAGTTTTTAGACATGTTTACAATGTAGACATGTTTAGATATGTTTACAAAAATGTGAACATTTTTGCTGAACAAAATTAAAATACATTGCACAAAATTCTTAAAATGGATACCCATAAAATGTTCTAAAGCTCATTTTGGTATTAAAAAAATTATGGTAATTTTGTTCAGCTCAGCTCTCAGATGTGCAGAATAGTGGACAAACAGTGCATGAATGCAGTTCAGAAAATTGAAAAATAATTACCATATATATGTTTTTTAGAATTTTAGTATACAGTTCCCTAAATACCCAGAAAATTTTTAACAAATGCTTACCCTCCAAGAGGATAAATTAGACTGCATAAAGTTGTGTTATAGCTGCATGCATTTCTGAAACGTTACCACTAGTTATAAAAACACTTAAAAGCACAAGTCCACAGTATATATTCTGACAAAATATACCTAATCTGTAAACAGAAATGTGAGTGCACAACTACCAAGTATGTAACTATATAATCACCTTGGAAATAATTTACTTGATGCTACTTATGTGTAAAAAGTATGAAAAAAAAAAAAAAAAAAAAGAGAATTATTTTCTATTTGTTCCACTTCATGACGCTCACTATGGTAAGAAATATCTGTACCAGAATTTCTTACAAAAAGAAAGTCATCTCACCTTAATTCTTTTTTCACTGTCCTCTAGCCTGCTCTCTGCATAGGCTAGTTTCTTTGCCAGGTCATCTCTTTCGGCAAGGTGCTTATCTGCAGACAGCTTTTTCAGTTTCTGCAAGACAGTTTTTGTTCTGTACAGTTCATCTTCCGAATCTTTCAGCCGTCTCTCAGTTGCACGTTCTCTCTCTTGAGATTTTCGTAGGCGCTCCCTTAATATTCTAATCTCATTGTTGTGCCGAGCAAGGAGCTGAGAGATTTCGTTTTCCGTATCTTCAAACTTATTCAAGGCTTTCTCCTGCCTGTGCTGAAGCCTCTTCAGTGCCCTGTTTTCCTTCTGCAGCTCATCTAGTTTGATGTGGAGTTCAGTCAGTTCATTTCGGAGCTCATTGATTTTCAGCAGCCTAGCAGAAAGAACTCTTTTTGTAACAAGATCTATATCTTTTGCAGGAGAATCCCTAGTGAGGCTCTGAGAACGGAAGCCCCACTGTGTCCCTCTTTTGCTTGGTGCATATTTGGAACTCAATTTCTTTGTGGCTAAGAGAGGAAAAATAAAAAGCATGTTTACTATAAGACAATGCAATTTGTCTATTCAGACATCCTTCTTGGAATAAAGCTCTGCCTGAAACAATTTTACAATACTTAGCAGAGATTGCAGCTTTCAAACCAGACAATAAAAGGCATATATATGATAGACTCATGCTGCTTTTGATAGAAAAAAAATGGAGCTTTATGTTTGTGATCTACTGTAAGAGGTAATATTTGCAGCCATCAATATAGGACCATTGTAAAGTAATAATCTGCAAATTGTATTGGAAATAAGAATCATATTTTGCTAATATTTAATGATGTTTATTAAAATGTTTTAGATATACTGTACTCTTAGGCATACAATATTATCAAATGCTTTTAAAATGGCAACAATTAGCTGAGCGTTAGCTAGTTATGTGTTATGCAAGATGTAATTCTCTCAGACAAATGCAGTAGTATTTTCAAATCCAGCTGCCATGCTTACAGACAAAACAGCAGATTTCAGAGGTTCAATGCAAAAAGCCTCCAAAGCAAAATTATAAATCCCATGAAAATTCAGTCCTCCCCTGAATAATTTATTCTTGTATCACATTTTCCACACAGTATCCTTATTTGATTACTAGTATGCATCACTCGCATTCCTATTTCATATTATTATTTTCTTCTCACCCCCATAGATAAAAGCTAAACATTTTCTTTCTACCTTATTTGCCTCTCAAGCCACACTCAAAGAATGAAGCATATAATCCCCCAAATATATCTGTTAAAACAACTGCATATATAGAGAGCACATAATTCATTAAGCTACATCAGTGTTCGGAAGCCACATACTGAGCAGCAGCTTATAATTCAGGCTTGAAAGCTGGGATACAGCAATAGTGCAGTTACCTATACACAGACAGGGAGTCTGTGCGACAGCAAATTCTTCCTTTGGCGCTCACCATGTTTCTATTACACAGAGAATATTTTACAACAAAAATAACAGCTTTAAAGTATTTTCTTATCATTTCCTCTAAACATTTTGCACAAATACTCATTCATTTTCTGCTTGATGCTCATTTTTTCCACAGCTTGGGCAAACAAAAGGGTTTTTTCCTTTACAAAGAACACGTCACATTCAGGTGGGAAAAGGCACATACATGCACTGCAGGAATGACGCCACTCCTATCACCAACTAAGGGAATTCCCATTAACCCAAGACTTCCAGCCCCTTGAAAAATTTCTCCCCATTTAGGGCAGAACAGAAAATTCCAATATCAAGTTTGCACTGTCGACCATATAGTTAAATTGGGGAATAGTGTCTTTCAAGAACAACATGCCATTCACAATACCTTCATGTAATAATTATGTTCAGTTCTGGCAATGTAATCAAAGAACTAGTCATTCATTTGCCCCCTCCAAATTAAATAGCACAGTGGAAATGCGGTTATTGTTTCCCAGAAAGCTAATGCATGACTGCTATGCAGAAGATGCCACTTCTGAACACAGAGAAGCTCGGCAAAATACCAGTTGCACCAGGACACCAACTCTGTCAAGGATCTGAAGAGATATGCTCCCTGGGCAACTTCAATATTTACAGTTAGATTTTCTGGCACACTCGAGATCATAATGTTGACCAAATGATTCCCATGGTATCAAGCACCTACGAATGAAATAGAGCCCTTGCTTGAGAGAGGCAGGATATGCTCTGACTTCACCAGAAAACGTATGCAATTATTTAGAACAAGCTGTCAAAGCGTGGCAGAGAGGCTTCACATCCCTACTTCAGCCCAGGACCTGGATAACCATTCTCTTCCTTTTTGTAGGGACGTTCCCTTCCCCGCAATCTCAACCAAGAAAGCAGTGCATGTACGTGAGGTGCGTGTGATGGAGCTGAAAGTGGAGCTATTTCATCTCAGACTGGAGATATTTTACCCTCAAGGAAGGACCAGGAAAAACTTTCTTTGGAATTTCCACATGCACCTAACTTTCACCAAACACATTTTCTCTCTCTTGCCACATTAGCAATCTTTCATTTGTTTGTTTTTTTAAAGTACCCAGTATTACACTGTAAAGCTTAGTCAACTAGACTTCTACAAGAGAGAGATCTTTAGGGGTATTTTGTCAGAGAAATTTTAACAGTTGTCTCCCTTTTACTCCCTTTTAAGGACTTGCCCTGAGTCCTTGGCCTCGAGTCTTTTTGTCAAAGACAAAAAGAGAGCACCAGCATGATTCAACAAAGGGCTAGTATAAGAGCCACGTTCACTTTTTAAGGAAAACGTGAATAATTCTGAAAATCACCAAAAATCCTCCTTATGCAGAAACAGATTAATTTCAATTTTCAACAGAGCAGTTACAGTCTACCTGCCATCTGTAGCATAATTCACATGAACTTTATTTGTAGATTCTCATAATGGTAGCTTCCCACTTCCATTTCAGCTTTCAAAGATAATTAACTCTTTAGAGCAGTTACAAAGCAGCAATTTCTGCTATCTACCTACCTTGGTAGTGCACAAGGTTGTTTGAAGTTTGTGTTTTGTGATCTCTTTTTTCTTGGCTTGTAGATGGATAGCTTAGTGTTGGTGACTGGCCAGATGAATGAGATGCATTATCTTCATCTGAATAATAGGAGTCACTATTTTTATCCCCATCTGATTTCCTGTCGTGTTCAGAATCTGGGCTCCTTACTCTTTCTCCCATTTTTCAGATTTAACTGCTTTCCAGATTTTTCTCAAAGACTGTTCATTTTGACACAAAGGACCTTTCAGTTGTCACAATGGCAGCAGCTGGATTATTTCCTTGGATATATCATCTTCATCTCCAAAGCATGGGATCTTTGCAGTTCAGTTCAGCAAGCAGTAGTTATCATTCAGAATGCATTTTTTTCTGTAACAATTTAGAGAGGAAAAAAGTGAGAATGGTGTGCTGGTTTTGGCTGGGATAGAGAGAATTTTCTTCATAGTAGCTAGTATGGGGCTATGTTTTGGGTTTGTGCTGAAAACAGTGGTGGTAACACAGGGATGCTTTCGTTATTGCTGAGCAGCGCTTACACAGAGTCAAGGCCTTTTCTGCTTCTCACACCACCCCACCAGCGAGCGGGCTGGGGGTGCACAAGAAGCTGGGAGGGGACACAGCTGGGACAGCTGACCCCAGCTGACCAAAGGGATATTCCATGCCATATGGCATCATGCTCAGCATATAAAGCTGGGGGAAGAAGAAGGAAGGGGGGGACGTTGTGAGTGATGGCATTTGTCTTCCCAAGTAACCGTGATGCATGATGGAGCCCTGCTTTCCTGGAGATGGCTGAACACCTGCCTGCCAACGGGAAGCAGCGAATTAATTCCTTGTTTTGCTTTGCTTGTGCGCGTGGCTTTTGCTTTACCTATTAAACTGTCTTTATCTGAACCCACAACTTTTCTCACTTTAACCTTCCCGATTCTCCCCCCCATCCGACTGTGGGGAGAGTTAGCAAGTGGCTGTGCGGTGCTTAGTTGCTGGCTAGGGTTAAACCACAACAAATGGTTTTGTCGTTTAGTTAAGAAAGAAAGGTAAAAAACCCTGTAAAATTATTCAGGATTCCTATAACCTTATGCCACGTGCTGTGCTACATTAGCTTTACTATTTATATTAAATGTGACAGACATCACTCTAGGAATGCTACTAGTATTACACTCAGTAGTTTGAGCCGCTTCATCCCCAAAAGGGAAATCAGAAAATTAACACAGCTAAATCTAGAATAAGAAATTACTCCCAGGTTAGAGAGAGGGGAAAAGAAGCATTTGGAAAACAAAACAGAAGACAAGTGAAAGCTTGACACTATTCAGGAAAATACTTTAAACATATTTTAAAACTTTTTACCAAATAAATTAACAACTTATTCATGTGACTAGAATTGAGATATTTGTAGAATTTGACTAAATCTTCCATATCTCAATTTTTGACACTCCAATGATGTCAAATAATGGGCTTGGAAAGCAGTTGCCCCATTTGTCTGGAGGACATTCTGTCCTTAACTGCTAATGAAACCGTACCTATGTATTGCAGTCTTTGCCCCAGAAAGTACTCTCATACCCTACAACGTCTAGTGTGTTTCATGCCTTCAAGAACTGACAGGAGCACACACATTTGTGTCCTGTGTTTTATAGGAAAATGCAAATATAGCCTTTTGGGGTTTTTATATTTGATAAGAGAGACCACACTGCTGCTACATGGTGAACATTGTATCTGCAGCAGGTATAAAATGAGAAGGGCTGCTCCTGCAGCCTGTCTTCGGATGTAAACTGAAAAAATCTCCTGATCTCAAGGTAAAATCACCTTATTTTGCATTTTTGGAGATACTTCCTGAGAATACAATGGAGCAAATACGTCTAAAATTTTCCTCACGTTCTCAGTCAAAAGAATTTTCTCATCAGTTTAGGAAGTATTTTACTGACTACGCTCAGCCTCCCATGCCTTTTGTCTGTCTCGCGACTCTTCACAGCTCTCAAGCTTATTTCACCATCTATCTCACTTCAATCCAACTTCAGGATATCAAGCCTCTAATGGGTGAAAAAATAGGACTTGCATCCGAGCCCATCAGTTCTGCCTGTTGAATGACACAAGCTTCTAGCTTGTTTCTAAATGGCAAAGCAAACTACACACAAAAAATTAAGTCACTTTCAATCAAAACTGTTCTACACCACAGGGCATACAACATACCTGTAAATGAGCTGTAAATTTTTCACTATATTATTTCCCAATAAAATAAAATTAGCATGCTTCTTGGCCTTCTATTCCACTGTCTATACATGCAGAATTGCATAGCCAAGGAGAACAGAAGCGTCAGCTGCCAAGACAGGTTTCATTACAAATTCAAGCTTTCTGGCCCAGTTCACTGTTAGCACAACTCTCTCTCCAGTGACTGGAATCCATTTGCCCTCATAATCTATACAGAAGGAATTAGAGGAATAAATATCCCAACAGAGTTCTAAATTGGGAAGCTGCTGGGAAATTAATACTGAATTATTTGGAAGAGTGTGTTTTTCTTTACTTAGGGAGTAACTTTCCAAAATGTTTTTTAAGCATCTAAATATTTTCAAAGTGGTCCAAATAAATTACATGCCTAAAACTTATGTCAGAGAAGATTCTAATGAAAACTAAAATTGCACTGCAAAGCCCAGAAAGAAGACAAGCTACGCTTGACATCACTTGTCCTAGAGATCGCTAAACAACACCTGCTGGAAGGTATCAGTTATTGCAAACATTCAAATGATCAGTAATGACTGTTCTTTTTTCTTCTGAAATAATGCAGTTATTAAAGACATTTCAAAAGCATATACCTAACTATAATCGTATTATCTCGTTTGTCTTTAAGTGTAATGAAGTCCCTCAGATATATTCATGAGTGCAAAACTCGTAAGAAAATTAGAACATATCAGAGTGCATCCCTACTCCCAAACAGCTCCACTCCTAAGTCCTGGACTCACTAACATCTGCGCAGAATGTATGTTATTTTGCTCCTTGAAGAGCAAACCAAGCCCAAACTGAAACACAGGTAGAATTTTGGGGACAACCTGTTCTCTAGAGGGTACACAGGGAAGACTACATCAGTTTTGCCTCCACAGGACAGAATCTCAAGGAATGCAAAAAATATAAAATAAAATATAAACTAATATAGTTATATTAAAATACTAAAATAGTATAAAATATAAAAATAGTACTCAGGAGGGCTGTAACACAGACCTCATATTACTACAGTAATCCTGACTGAAAAAAAAACATTACAAACAGTAGTTGCATTTGTAACCCACACAAAGTGTGGTGTTGTCACTAAAGCCAAAGGCTTCATTTCCAGCTAACAACATGGGCCACAAAACTTGTCAGACTTTGTGTGAACTCATCTTGGGTGCCTGGAGCTTTGCTATAGCTTATTTATCTGCAACAAAATTAGTTAACAACCAAGGAAGTTATCTAATTTGTTTTAGCTTTTTGCTTAGCTTTGTACAATTGTCTAGCACCTACTGTTACATTTATGTTTATAAAATAACAGACAGCAATGACAAGTAGTTATTCTGTGCAGAGCAAACTATCTACAACCCTTGCAAAAACGCAGCATAGAGGAGTACAGGCATGGCGTGACTGCAGGGGCCTGAAAGCACAAACATGGGACAATACCGGGGCCCTGTAACAGCTTGCCTGTGCTTAATTACTGGTCATCAATAGGATGCAGTCTTGGGAGCTGGGTAAAACTGGTTTTATAGGCAAGACATAGAACAAAGAACAAGTATTCAACATATGTAAAACACGCCACATGTTGTACATTCAGATGTAATGTGGAATCATGAATCAGTGTATAGAATAGAATAGAATAGAATAGAACAGAACAGAACAGAACAGAACAGAATAGAATAGAACAGAATAGAACAGAACAGAACAAATAGAGGTACATTGAAAAGGTACAAATCAAGGAACCCTGAGGTACACATTGGACTTCCCCATCCTCCCACATCACCCATCAAGTGCACCCAGGTCCTTGAGCAAAAGCAATCCAATGGATGGGTTTGCCTTTGTCCAAGGGATTGGTTTGCCTTTGCCCAAGGCAGGAATCACCCAGACTGTCTTCCCCATCATATTTTTTATGTGCACTACAGGGACTTTATCCTCTTCTACAGTATGTAGAAGATTTGATTGGGCAGGGCCAGCTCGATTGGCAGATCCCCTAGTGTTGACCAACCAGGTGGCCTTTGCTAAATGTGTATCCCAGTGTTTGAATCTCCCAGCACCCATTGCTCTCAGTGTAGTCTTTAACAGCCCATTGTATCGTTCCAGTTTCCCGAAGCCTGGTGCGTGATAGGGGATGTGACATACCCACGCAATGCCATGCTCTTTGGCTCAGGTGACTATGAAGTTGTTTCGGAAATGAGTCACATTGTCTGACTCAATTCCTTCTGGGGTGCCATGTCGCCATAGGACTTGCTTTTCAAGGCCCAGGACAGTGTTCTGGGCAGTGGCATGGGATATGTTTCCAGCCATCCGGTAGTTGCTGACAGCATGGTGAGCACATGGTGCTTGCCTTGGTGAGCTTGTGGGAGGGTGATACAATCAATCTGCCAGGCCTCTCCATGTTTATATTTCAGCCATCGTCCTCCATACCAGAGAGGCTTTAACTGCTTGGCTTGCTTGATTGCAGCGCATGTTTCACACTCATGGATAACCTGTGCAATAATGTCCATGGTCAACTCTACCCCTCGATCACGAGCGCATCTGTATGTTGCATCTCTTCCTTCATGACCTGAGGTGTCATGGGCCCATCAGGCTAAAAATAATTCACCCTTATCTTGCCAGTCCAGATCCACCTCAGCCACTTCAATCTTAGCAGCCTGACCCATCTGCTAGTTGTTTTGATGTTCTTCAGTGGCTCCACTCTTGGGGACCTGAGGATCTTCGTGGCAAAACTTT